TGAATGGAATGTCTGATTTGAACCAAGCTTTGCACAACCTGTTACCTTTACGAAGCCTAGATCAAGTCCGAAGTTGGAATCCGTCTGTTGTTTCCTTTGTATTTTATTTGAATAACCGAATTGATCAACATTAAATCTGAAACATCTTTGACGAAAATATATACCTTATATAAAACGAATAATAAAACCAGTGTGTATCTCCGAAGACCTTCTCCACGAACCATAGAGTCAGGGTATATATCTGTCGGCAACGCCGACTGACATTTTTATACCCTTAACCACACTATGGTACAGGGTATTATGTCTTTGTGCATATGTTTGTAACAGGCAAAAGGAAACGAGATAGACTCATGGTTCCTTTTGAGAATATGCATAGAATCACTTTCTGAGTCGATGTATGCATGTCCGTCCGTCCGTCTGTAGATGTTAAATTGTAAACAAAATACAGGTCGCATTTATAATCCGATTTGGATGAAATTTGGCACAAGTCACTTATTTGGCCCAAGGACGAACCCTATTGAAGACGAAATGGGAAAAATCGGTTCAGTTTTAGATATAGCTCCCATATATATTTTCGTCCGATTTCATGTAAATGGGGCACCAAAGTCCCTCTATATCTTTCGATTTGCATCAAATTTGGCACAGAGTGCTGAATTAGGCGCAGAGTGATGTGTGCCAAGTTTCGAGAAAATTAGTTCAGTTTTAGATATAGCTCCCATATATATTTTCGTCCGATTTCAGGTAAATGGGGCACCAAAGTCCCCTATATCTTTCGATTTGCATGAAATGTGGCACAGAGTACTGAATTAGGCGCAGAGTGATGTGTGCCAAGTTTCGAGAAAATCGGTTCAGTTTTAGATATACCTCCCATATATATTTTCGTCCGATTTAAAGTAAGTGGGGCACCATAGTCCCTCTATATCTTTCGTCCGATTTCAGGTAAATGGGGCAGAGTGATGTGTGCCAAGTTTCGAGAAAATCGGTTCTGTTTTAGATATAGCTCCCACGTATATATTTTCGTCCGATTTAAGGTAAATGGGGCACCAAAGTCCCTCTATATCTTTCGATTTGCATGAAATTTGGCACAGAGTACTCTATTTGGTCCAGAATGATGTGTGCCAAGTTGCGAGAAAATCTGGTCAGATTTATATATAGCTCTCATATATATTTTTGTCCGATTTAAGGTATATGGGTCTCCAAAGTCCCTCTATATCTTTCGATTTGGCATAGGGCACTGAATTGGGTCCAGAATGATGTGTGCTAAGTGTCGTGAAAATCAGTTCAGATTTAGATATAGCTCCCATATATAGTTTCGCCCGATTTTAGGTAAATAGTCCATTAAAGTCCCTGGAAATGTTTTGATTTTCTCGAATTTTTGCACAGAAATTTGCACGAAATTTGGCATAACATACTGAATTGCGTCTATAATAATGTGTGCTAAGTTTTGTGAAAATCGGTTCAGATTTGTCATAGCGTATTGAATTAAGGCTAGAATGACGGGTGCTAAGTTTCGTGAAAATCGGTTCAGTTTTAGATATAGCTCCCATATATATTTTCGTCCGATTTCAGGTAAATGGGGCAGAGTGATGTGTGCCAAGTTTCGAGAAAATCGCTTCAGTTTTAGATATAGCTCCCACATATATATTTTCGTCCGATTTAAGGTAAATGGGGCACCAAAGTCCCTCTATATCTTTCAATTTGCATGAAATGTGGCACAGAGTACTCAATTAGGTCCAGAATGATGTGTGCCTAGTTTCGAGAAAATCTGGTCAGATTTATATATAGCTCTCATATATATTTTCGTCCGATTTAAGGTATATGGGTCTCCAAAGTCCCTCTATATCTTTCGATTTGGCATAGGGCACTGAATTGGGTCCAGAATGATGTGTGCTAAGTGTCATGAAAATCAGTTCAGATTTAGATATAGCTATAGATATATATATATATATATAGTTTCGCCCGATTTTAGGTAAATAGTCCATTAAAGTCCCTGGAAATGTTTTGATTTTCTCGAATTTTTGCACAGAAATTTGCACGAAATTTGGCATAACATACTGAATTGCGTCTATAATAATGTGTGCTAAGTTTCGTGAAAATCGGTTCAGATTTGTCATATCGTATTGAATTAAGGCTAGAATGACGGGTGCTAAGTTTTGTGAAAATCGGTTCAGATTTAGATATAGTCCACATATACATTTTCGTCCGATTTTATGTAATTGGTGCATTTTGGTATAGGGTACTGAATTAAGTCTTGGTTGACACAACGTATTGAAGTAATATAAATTAGTCTCTGGCGAGTTTCCCTGAAATCGTTACAGATATAGATATATAAAAAAACGCGTCGTCTGTTAGGATACATATGTAGAATATACCCAAAGTGGTGAAGGATACTTTCCTTACTGGTTTAACTTGTTATTTACCAAATTAACATACGCCCAAACTCTAAATTTTCTCAAAGAAAACACTTTGCTCTGAATATTGCTGAAATTGTGTGGTTTGAAAAAAATTCTCTTGGACAGGTCGGACGATTGTTTTCACAACACAAATGGCGATAATATTACAATGTTTCAGGCTCATTCGATGGCCAACCACCAACGCAAAAAATGGAGTGATAGGTTTATTATTCGATTTGTAACAAAGAACTTGGCTTGTTCACAGCAATAATGATACCAACTTTCAAATTTTCTTAAAGCGATAGTGGAAGATGGTTAGTGATTTGTACCCCTACGACTTCCATTTGTATTGTAGGGCACTAGGAATTCTCTTCTGCCACATCCAACCTTTATCTATTTGTTTTAACTTTTTCGGTTCGCCTCCATTTTCTTCAATGGAATTTCTCCATTCAAGAGTTGATTTCAACAAACTTAGACAACAGGTTGATTGGTTGGCCGGTTGGTTGTCTGTCTGTTACCAGTCAAGTTGTATCACTGGATGTTCGTTCATTGGTACTCTTGTTATAAAATTCAGGTGCAAACCTAGGAAACCATAGTTGTTGTTTATTTTTCCGTTATTATCTTACAAGTTTTACTGGATAGGACAACGAAGAAAAAAACTAACAAATGTTTGTAATAAGGCTAATTTTGGCTTTCCCTCCAGACAGATAAAGAAAATGTGGGTGATTTCAACGTTAATTTATTTGTTTGGCTTTATTATTAAAATGGCAAATGATTGTAATTTTGGCCATTACAATCAACATTCCAATGGTATGAGAAAATTTGAAATTAAATTCGAGTTTTTGGTAAAAAGTGGTTATATTTGTGGAAAATAAGTATTAAATAAAATATTTATTGATTTCATTGACCAGTGGATTTTTTTTAACACGGAAACGTGAATGCAAAGATATTTGCAGAATTTACCGTAAGGGAAGAACAAAAGGCGGAGAGGATGACTATATGATATACTTTACCACTTTGGATATTTTTAAGAGATAATCCAAAGAATAGCTTTGGCTGTATTGATCTGTATTATTGATCTATACTTTTTCGATCGTCCAATTTACTTTTTGTATATTTTAGTGACCACTTTTCAATATACCAATAAACATGCGTATAGACTAATACCGACAAAGTTGAATGTTCTAGCTTCAGACGTTTTGTCTGGAAGTACATCAGTACGCAATCAGCACACCAATTTTTTAAATGGAAACACATTTGAAATTCTCCATAAGTAAAACCTCTCAGTTCAAGTGCAATGTCAACTACATTAACAAATTCCGAACAAACAACTCCATATCAGTTTAACATAAGTTTTATGGTTTAATTATACCCTTCACCACACTGTGGTACAGGGTATTATGTCTTTGTGCATATGTTTGTAACAGGCAAAAGGAAACGAGATAGACACATGGTTCCTTTTGAGAATATGCATAGAATCACCTTCTGAGTCGATTTATGCATGTCCGTCCGTCTGTCCGTCTGTAGATGTTAAATTGTAAACAAAGTACAGGTCGCATTTATGATCCGAATTGGATGAAATTTGGCATAGGTCACTTATTCGGCCAAAGGACGAACCCTATTGAAATTGACAAAAATCGGTTCAGATTTAGATATAGCTCCCATATATATATTCAACCAATTTAATGTAAACGGTCCCTATATATCTCTCGATTTGCACGAAATTTGGTAAAACCTAATCATTTAGGTCTAGAATGATATCTGCCAAGTTTCGTGAAAATCTGTCCAGATTTAGATATAGCTCCCATATATAGTTTCGTCCGATTTCATGTAAATGGTGCACCAAAGCCCTATATATCTTTCGATTTGCACGAAATTCGGCATGACCTACTGAACTGAGCCTAGAATTATGTCTGCCAAGTTTCGTGAAAATCGGTCCAGATTTAGATATAGCTCTCATATATATTTTCGTCCGATTTAATGCAAATGGTGCCCCAAAGTCCCTATATATCTTTCGACTTGCACGAAATTTGGCACAACGTACTGAATTGAGCCTAGAATGATGTCTGCCAAGTTTCGAGAAAATCGGTCTATTGATGTCTGCCAAGTTTCATGAAAATCGGTCCTGATTTAGATATAGCTCCCATATATAGTTTCGTCCGATTTCATGTAAATGGTGCCCCAAAGTCCCTATATATCTTTCGATTTGCACGAAATTTGGCATAACGTACTTAATTGAGCCTAGAGTGATGTCTGCCAAGTTTCGAGAAAATCGGTCCAGATTTCTATATAGCTCCCACATATAGCTCACATTTTTAAAGTAATTGACGCACCAAGGATATATGTAGGTAGATTCACATTTAGATAAATATCACATATATGATTTCATCCAATTTCATGTTAATAGTCCTGTTTAATATACCCATAGTGGTGAAGGGTATCATATAGTCGGCCCCGTCCGACTTTACTACTTTCCTTACTGGTCTATAATTGCTTTTTACTAAGACCACACTACCAACAATTTACTACACACACATTCTGCAGTGAAGACAAAAAACATTTTTATCAGTAATAAAATCAATTTATTTTTTCAAAAAATTTCCTTGATTACAATTTCGAGTTCTTGTTTTCATTTTTGGATTCATATAGTCAATCTGATTTGGTGACAGTCTTAACATCGCCAGTCATAGCAATGCATTCGATTTCAACCAAGGCATCCATGGGAAGACGGGCAACTTGGAAACAGCTGCGAGCGGGGAAGTCTTTATTGAAAACTGTAAAGAGAGAGAGAATGTGAAAAAAGTAATTAACATATGTTATTAACAATTTAAGAGAGTAAGAGATAAGGTGAATATTTTATAAATGGGGTATTTGGAACTAGAGTTGTCATTTTACATAAAGATGAGAACAAACTGTTTTGGATGTATTTCCACAAATAATATTTATGATTTGTTGTTAGAAAATATTTTTTTCTCCACACATACAATAGTGGTAGATTTTTTACAAATATTACAAAGACACCTACACTAGGCGTAGATTTTTATACCCTCAGCCTTATGGCTTTAAACCCCATGTTTCTTTGGACCAAATCCGTTTCAGAAAATTTGGAGTTGATTTACACATGTCAGTCCGTCCGTTGTCCGGTGATGGTGCGCACGATAACTCTCGAAGGCAGCAACCGATTTCATTCAAACTTTGTAGACTATCCGATTTTAACGAAACTTTTCACAACCCATTATCTTTACGAAGTCTATATTAAGTCCAAAGATGGGACCCATTGGTCCTTCTGGTACCTCCCCCACGAATGGTCAACATTTTCAATATTTATAAATGCAATATCAGGCGAATGGAATGTCAACCAAACCTTGCACAACCTATTATCTTTACCAAACTTATATCAAGTCCGAGAAGGGACCCACTAGTCCACTCCTTCCGGTACCTCCCCCACAAATGGTTAATATTTTATAAAATTTTATCAACATTAAATCCGAAACCTCTTTGATAAAAACATATTTCTTATATAAAGCTAATAATAAAATCTGTGTGTAATTCCGAAGACCTCCGCAAACTATAGGTTGGGGGTATATGTCTATCGGCAACAGCGACTGACACTTTTTTACTTGTTTAAAAATATTTCTTCCGTACACCTACCATAAGCGTGGTTTTAAAAACGTTTTTTATGCACCTACCAGAGACGAGGATTTTTTTAGAAATATTTTTTCCATGCATATAAAATAGGCGTTGATTTTTTAAAATATATTTTTTTCAGACACCTACAATAGGCGTGATTTTTTAAAATATATTTTTCAAGGTAGCTATAATACGATACTATAATAGCTACTTATTTGTGTAGGAGTGGATTTTTAAAAATATGCCTGGACTTTTTTAAATATTTTTTAAGGCGGCTAAAGTAGGCCTAGATTTGTATACCCTTCACTACACAGTTGTGCAGGGTATTATGTCTTTGTGCATATGTTTGTAACAGGCAAAAGAGAACGAGGTGGCCATGTGTCCTTTTGAGAATATGCACAGAATCACTTTCTGAATCAATTTATGCATGTACGTCCGTCCGTCTGTCCGTCCCCGTAGTTTTGTTAACAAATTACAGGTCGCATTTATGATCCGATTTAGATGAAATTTGGCACAGTTCACTTATTTGGCCCAAGTGATGTCTGCCTATTAAAATTGGGAAAAATCTGTTCAGATTTAGATAAAGCTCCCATATATATTTTCGTCCGATTCAAGGTAAATGGTGCACCAAGGTCACTATATATCAGTCGATTTGCACGATTTGGCACAGCGTAATGAATTAGGTCTAGAATGATGTGTGCTGAGTTTCATTAAAATCGGTTCAGATTTAGATATAGCTCATATATATAGTTTCGTCCGATTTTATGTAAATGGTCCACCAAAGTCCCTATATATCATTCGATTTGCACGAAATTTGGCAGAGCGTTCTGTATTAGGTGCAGAATGATGTGTGCTGAGTTTGATGAAAATCGGTTCAGATTTAGATATGGCTCCCATATATAGTTTCGTCCGATTTTTTGTAAATCTTTCGATTTGCACGATATTTGACACAGCGTTATGAATGAAGTATGGAATGATGTGTGTTAAGTTTCCTGAAAATCGGTTCAGATTTAGATATAGCTCCCATATATATTTCGTCCGATTTAATGTAAATGGTTCACCAAAGTCCCTATATATCTTTCGATTTGAACGAAATTTAGCATATCGTATTCAATTAAGTACCAATTATAATGCCGTATGTACTCCGATTTGGGAGTTAATCATAAATATTTACGAATTCAGATATTATTTTGTTACCCATTTCCACACTGGAAGGCGGAAATATAGCGCTGATCGCTTTTAAATTTTCCAAGAGGTGATGACCACATACAAATATTGGCACAGCGTAAAAAACATGAATTTTTGGTCTAGAATGATGTGTGTTAAATTTCCTGAAATCGTTGAAATCGGTTCAGATTTAGATATATCTTCTATATGAAAAAAATTAGTATAGGCTGCAGAATGACATGTTTATGGATCCAATTACATTTTGATGGTCCTTTTAAAATGCGGCGTCTGTTAGGATTCTTCTGTTGAATATACACTCAGTGGTGAAGGGTATCATTTAGTCGGCCCAGTCCGTCTTTACTATTTTCTTTACTGGTTTATATTAAAATATTTGTCTGATTTGTGCAGCGTTTTGGTTTTGGTTCTAAGAGTCTGTGGCAATCATTTCACCTGCGGAGGATATCGAGATTTTAAAAACTAATTTTAAGGATCGATTTTGAACTATATATTTTTAACCCACATTTAGGCCTAGCCCCTTTAAAGGTATCAGATGGAAATATTTTTTTAGGATATTCCCCATCTTCGAACTTGAACTAAGTTTGTGGTACAGGGTATTATGCTTTGTGCATTTGTTTATAACAGGCAAAAGGAATCGAGATAAACTCAGGGTTCATTCCGAGAATATGCATAGAATCACTTTCTGAGTCGATTTATGCAGGTCCGTCTGTCTGTCCGTCCGTCCATGTATTTTTTGGGTGAAATTTGGCACATGTCACTTATTTAGCCCATGGACGAACTCAATTGAAATTGGAGAAAATCGATTCAGATTTAGATATTGCTCCCATATATACTTTCGTCTGATTTTATGTAAATGGTGCACCAAACTCTCAATTTTTGTCCGAATGAGACAAAATTTGGCACAATGAATGGTATTGAGGCTAGGATAGAGTGCGTTAATTTTCATTGAAATCTGATTAGATACAGATGTAGCTCCCGATTTTATGTAAATGAGCATCAAACTCCAAATTTTTGGTCGATTGTGACAAAATTTGGCATAACGTATTAAATTGGGACTATGATAAAGTATATTAGGTTTCATTGAAATCGGATAAGATTTATATATGGCTCCTAATGTATTTATGTAAATGGTGCACCAATATCCCAATGTTTGTCCGATTGAGACAAAATTTGGTCTAACATATGTAATTGAGCAGAGTACTGAGTTAGGTCCAGAAAGATGTATGGGAAGTTTTCTTGAAATCGGTTCAGATTTAGATCCAGCTCCCATATATATTTTCGTCCAATTTTATGGAAATGATGCACCGAGGAGCTTACGTTTGGTGGCATTACATGAAATATTGCAGAGAGTATTAGATTGAAAATTATTGAAATCGGTTCAGGTTTAGATATAGCTTCCATATATATTTCCATCTGATTTCGTTTAAATGGTCAACCAAATCAGTAAAGTTGTTTCGATTGGGATGAATTTATGCATAACGTATAATATTGGAGCTACAATAACGCGTTTAGGAGTTTGTACAATATATCAATATGTAAATATAACCTCTATATATATTCGTTTGAGCTACACTTTTAATATAAATGGTACGTATAGGAGTTTGTAAAATATATTAATATGTAAATAGAATATTTTTTGGGCTATAATAGGCATGGATTAAAAAATATTTTTTAGGGAGCTAGCATAGATCGACTAAAATCTGCTCATAATAGACGCTCAATATATTTCCACTATAAATCACATTGAGAGCTAGATACAGTTCCCGTAGTTTGATGCTCCGTTACTCTTCAATGTTGATTGATGATAACACATTCGAAAATGTTTTGACAAACAAATAAAAACACACACGAACAACCAACACGGAATCATTAATAAACGACCTGATAAAGAATATTTTCGTAATGCCCTATTAACTAGTTCGGTCAATAAAAATATATTATCAACTATTGTGGCAGTTGGTGATTAAAAACTGATTAAAGCTATGAAAACAATTTAAAATATGTTAAGTGTGTGAGTGTATGTTTTTTGTTTGTTTGTCTCACCTTAACAATATTGAAATTGATTACCTAGCTTAGTGGCAAATTGCTATCAGGCAACTACGTGAACTTACCCTTTTTGTAGACTTCATTGATGGCACCGAAATCGTTCAAATCCTTTAAGAAGATGGTATTCTTTACAACTTTATCGATGCCAGAATCAGCAGCAACGAGAACAGCTTCTAGATTTTTCAAGGCCATTTCAGCTTGGGCGACAGCACCACCCGGCACCAATTTCATGGTGTCCTTGTCCAAACCCAAACAGCCAGAAACGTAAACGGTACGATCGGCAACAACAGCTTGGCTATGGGAGGGTAAGCAGCAGAAACGGAATCCAAAGGCAGGCGGCAGAAAAAAATGCAATGCACCACAAGACAAATGACATATCATCGTGAAAAGAGACAAAGATAAAACATGTGTTCAGTGTTGTTTGTTTTTTCCAGAGGTGGTATAGGTTTTTTTTTGATGAAAATATGAGGGATTGGATGGGGAGTTAAGTAAAGAAATATATGTATGTATATTTTAAGTAAAGCTTGTATTTTTCGATTTTCCTCATCGATTTCTATAAATTTCCAATCGTCTAGAATGCTTATCAGTTAAATGAATGACATTGACATTGACCTTGAAATATTATTGCAGCCATGCTTAAATGTATGGAAGCCTAACAACAATCTGACAATTGCATCATTTTTATAAAACCATATTTTTATTTTAAAAATAAAACTTAACATCTATATTGACCTGCAGTTTCTGTAAGAAGATTTTCTACTAAAAATAAAAGCCATGAGAAGCTCGGTAACAATTTTTATACTCTCCACCACAAAATTTTATGTCCTTTTGCAACACCCCCATATATTGATTTGAGAACCCATAAAGTATGATTAGAATAAAATAATATGCTATTCCGTCTGTCTGTCAGTCTGTTGAAACCACGAATCACTACTACTCCTATGATGTTTGGTATCAAAAATTGGATATATCAGTACACTTTTTAGGATAGGCTACACATAACGCTATCCTCAATTTTCGGTATTTGAAAACTTTTGGGCACGTTTTTCGACCTATGAACATGTAATTTGATATTTTGGGTTCTCAATGGATCAATATTAGTCCACTTTTAGGGTAGCTCTCATATAACGCTTTATCCCAAATGTCGTTATTTTGGAGATATTGGGCATGTGTTTCAATCAAATTGGCTGTCATTTTATATTTTGGATTCTCATTGAGTTCAATTTTTTTCAATTAATCCGCTGCAATTTGGTATTTTGGGTTCTTACTGTGTAGAAAGTATTCCTACTGTATCAATATTGGTCCATATAACGCTCATTCCAAATTTCGATATTTTAGGGAGATTGGGCATGTGTTTAAACCAAATTAGATTCTCCTTACCAAAAATTATTAACATGACCCCAAGTTTCCGAGGAGCCACCATTGGGGGTTGTTGTACGTTTTTCAACCGAATTGGCTCTAATGTGATTTTTCAGGTTCTCAGTGGTTGTCAAATTTTCCTAAAAATATCAATATTGGTTTACGTTTTGATATAACTCCAACATTACGGTAGCGACCAATTTTCGGTATTTTGAAACATTAAGACACATTTTTCCATGGTTGTGATTGCAATTTGGCATTATGGATTATTGGATGGTAAAACACATTTTTGCACAATATTGGCTATATAGGTCCAAGTTTTAATAAAGTTTTTTACCCGAATTAACTCATCGAAGTGAGTGTAATTTGGCGTATCGGATATTTTTTTTGAAATTTTTCTTTCGAATAGGTTCAAGTTTTTGTATAGCCCCCACATACAGTCCACGCCCTATTCCCTTTCTCATCAAAGTAACTATAATTCCACAAATTATTCAATGGAGGTTAATGCTTTCATCCTCTACGACCCCAAATATGCAAATTCAAGCGGTTAAATACGGAAAATAAAGCCAGTCAGAAGAACTGTGCATCAAATTTTTATATCCTTAGCTTTAAGGCTAATGAGGATATATACACTTTGATACGGCAAATGTCCGTCTGCTGGGTGGGTGCGCACGATAACTCTCAAAGGGAATAACCGATTTCAACCAAATTTTGCAAAATCGTAATATTTCTTTTAATCTCGATGATAGGGTATATAAGTCCACTCCTTCTGGTACCTGCCCCACAAAATTGTGCTAATCATTATTTTATAACATCGTGCGAACGGGCTATCCGATATGAATAACTATTATCAAGCCTCGATCAAGTCCGAAGATGGTACCCACTGTCAATGGTCAAAATTTTCAATATTTATTAATCCAATATCATGTGAATTGAATTTCCGATTTGAAACAAACTTTGGCCTACCTATTATCTTTCTCCACACTAGACCGTCCGAAGATGGGACCCATTGGTCCACTCCACTATCTACCCACAAAGGGTCCGTATTTTAAAAACTTGTAAATTTATTTTGAAGCGAATTGATAAAAAACATATACCATATATAAAACTTTAATAAAACCTGAGCGTAATTCCGAAGACCTCCGCAAACCATAGGCTGAGGGTATATATCTGTCGGCAATACAGACTGACACTTTTTTACTTGTTCCTTTCAATCTTTTGTTTACGAAAAAATTAAAAATCGTACGAATGAGAATCCTTAGGTGCAATTTGTTCTATAAAAAAATCTCCTTCAAGAAGGAGACCAACGTTTTTCATTCAAACAAGAAAAAAAAATAATACTTCTCTTCTTTGAGGTAATTTTTCTGCAGAAAAAATTGGCCTTCAGATTAAGAGGAAGAATTTAGTTTAATAAACCTGAAGAGCAAATATTTTACCCACCGGAAAAAATACCAAAGTTGTCTATAGAAAAAATCTCAGTGAATTTGACGACGAATTTTTAATACAAGAAATTTTCGGTGAACCAGAAAATCGACAATAAAATATACTAAAAGTTCTTAAATTATCCTGAGGTATGCATTTGTTCTTAAAAAAATCTTCTATAAAAACTCATAGCATTCTTCTTTGCAGATCTCTTTCAGTATGGTACTCACTTGTATGGTGCTACGGGTTTGACAGCATTTTTGGTGCTAATCAATGTTTTGGTCAAAGTCGACATGATGGTTTATTAAAATAGCCTCACGGTCTGTTCTGCACTTGCCAAAGGTTTTAGGAAGACTGCTGATTTGTGTTTTGGAGAGCTATGTTTGCAACTAGTAAGTTTACGCTATCTTATCTTCCCAACATATCGGTCTATCGCTCAGGTCGCTCTCTTTCTCTCTTGGTCCAAATATTTCTAATTGGTCTTATTACTGCCTAATCGAACATTTTATTAGTGGCGGTCTGATTATCAGTAACAGCAACATTGTTGTAATTATTATTTTAATTTCCGAAATCTATTATTCAGCTAGTCTATAGCGTTCAGTTCTTAATTAATGTTCGCTCTTTTTCTCTACTACAGTTTTCTTCTGATAAAAATTACTATTCAAAGTCTCTCTGACTTTGGCCTATGAAGACTGCTATCAGCTCTAATCATCTATAAATAACTCTGCTTCAGCAACATTGTTGTAATTATCCCTGCTTCAGCTTCGAATTCCCAGCATATATTAAAGGTCTCCAATTCAGCTAGTCCATAGCGTTCAGTTTTCAATTTAATGTTCGCTATGTGTCTCTACTCCGGTTTTTGATGAACATTACTATTAAAAGTCTCAAATCGTCAATTAGATGAAATGTTTATATATAAAAATGAAATGAAATGTTTATTATATATAAAATTACACCTAAGTTAAGCCTAAAGCTTCGCAGGACACATGAATTTTAATTTTTTTTATAAATCAATAAAGAAAATCTAATAATAATAAAAAAAGACTCCCTTCATCTCGCCTATGAAGACTCCCTGCTTCAGCTCGTCTATAAAGATTCCCTGCTTCAGCTCGTCTATAAAGACTCCCTGTTTCAGCTCGTCTATAAAGATTCCCTGCTTCAGCTCGTCTATAAAGTCTCCATGCTTCAGCTCGTCTATAAAACCCCCTGATTCGGCTCGTCTATAAAAACTACCTGATTCAGATCGTCTATAAAGACTCCCTATTCTATGAAGACACCTTCAGTTCATATTAAGACTGCCAACATTGAAACACCCTTCAGCTATTTCAAAACATCACTTGCCTGGTCCCTAACATATAAAATTTAGGTTGTTAGTTGCCTCTACATTCTTAACCCTCCCTCGTAGCACCAACAGCACCCAGCTGATTCGCACAAATATAAATGATTTCAAACTGTTGGCGCAATTTTTTCCAATCATAAGTGTACCGGCGGACCATTTATTGCATTGGCAATCATATGCGAGCGATGATACATTGTTTCATCCTTTAGGGACAGGCCAATGGATGGTTGATCGGATGGGACGGACAGACAGACAAATGAAAGACCAGCCCATGCCCCAACCCATTCTTGATGTACGGACGGCTATGTGTGAATACCACACAGTATGTTGTCGGGACAATCATTAGTTTATACATAAATACAGTATACATCAGTCCAGCCCTGCCTGGGCAGTGGAGTTTAGTTTCCGATCACAACAAAAAGGAAGGTACTTACTTGTATGGCGCTACTGGTTTGGCAGCATTGCTGGTGCTAATCAATTTTCTGATCAAACTCGACATTATTGCTGTGGGTCGGGTCTCCCTTTTTTGTGGAAATAGATTACGTTTTGATTGTTTGTTGACTTAGCGAAATCGCCTCACGGTGTGTTCTACACTTGTCAAACGTTCTACGTGAACTGTTGTTGTGTTTTGCGCTTCGAAGCAGAGCTGCCGTTCAAAGTGTTGAGTTTAGTCTATTTAGCCTCTCCAGCCAGCTAGCCAGTCTGTCAGTCAGCTATTCTGCCGTTCAGTCTGTCTATTTCTCTGTAGCTCTCTGTTGGGCCACACATTTGTTATCGTTCCGTTCGCTGGCTTGGGTACTCTGTTGTTGCCGGCTCGCACATTTTATTAATGATTCTCTGGTTATCAACAGCACTATTATTGTTGTTGTTGTTGTCTTTTTTCAATTTTTCAATATTTTGCCGATTGAGCTGCCGGGCCAATGAATTTTTGTTTACTCTTCTCGTCGTGGTGTCGATAATAATTCACCACAGTTTCTCCATCAATGCTGTCGTAGTAGTTCACAGTGAACTATCGCTGCCGCTGCTTCTGTGCGGTTGTCGCTATCGCTTCGGTTGTCTCCCGATACATTGAGAGCTTTTAGTATTATCACTTAGGGGGTCATTTTTCGTTTGCCTATGAATGCGATGCAAAAAATAAAAAAACACACGGACAGATATTCGCATTGTTTTTTTTTTGCGATTATTATCAATAATACCTTTCAAACTGAGAAATATTTTATATAAATTCACTTGTTTTCTTGTTAGCAGTGGCGTAATATATGGGGAGGAGTGTTAAGGGGAAATATGCACAGTATAGTTAGCAAACTTGAAAATGTCATCTGTCAAGGCAATAGACCTAAAATCGGCACTAATTAATTTAGGTAATATAAAAATGTTTTAAAATAGCTTAAGCCGAGATTCACTTGTTATAATATATTAGCTAAGGGCGGGATTTTTATATAGAAGATACAAATATAAGTGGACCTGTGCCAAAAATATTTTAAAGGATATGTTGTAACCCACGAAAAATCGGAAATACGAAATTTATAGCAATTTTCCGTATAAGATAGTGTGCACCCCCACCAGAAACTATGTTATACTGTATCGACTTCCGATGTAATGAATAATGGACGGGATAATTATGTAAGGGGTGTACAAAAATAAGTGGATCCATACGCCATTTTTTAAATCCACAATGCATAAAATATTCAAAATTAGTAGATTTTCTTGTTTGCTTTATAGACACTCAGTTTGGAAATGTATTCAAAGTATCCTTAGTGTGGTAGCGATGTCATGAATCTATTTTAAAAACCTTCTTGAAATAAGTTTTCTTTTATACGACATAAATTCGGAATGCAAAATTACAGCCGCTTCACAGTACAGAAAATGGGTCACGTGTTTTACACTACAAGAACATGGAATGCCAAATTAAAGCCATTTTTAGGGGAGAATATGGTTAAAACCCTAAAAATGCGGCAAATAGGATGGTACTTTGGGGCCAAGTTTAACAGTTGACTCTCAATACCCTGCAATGAAGGTAACCCCAACTCAATTGAAAAACCTGTTCGAAATTTTTAAAATACTGAAAGCCGGGAGGTACCGTTTAATGGTGGCTATATTGGAACACTGGAATTTTGGGCACACCGAGGGTTCCGGAGCTTCCAGAAATTTGTATACCTTCCAGGATGGAGAGTCATTTTAAATTTTCTTCTATATTAAAACAAATAAGACCAGTAAGGAAAGTAGTTAAGTCAGACTGGGCCGACTATATGAAAGCCTTCACCACTTTGGGTATGTTGTACATATGTATCCTCACAATTGCATGTCAACTGTTCCCTCGAAGCAACATATTCATGTCCTTCTCCAACCTATGATATATTTAATTTCATTCGGGCAGATTAAGATTAGTCTGCGTACCATGGGACCAATTTATGGAAAACGATTTATAGCAAAATTAATACACGCTATCCAGTACCCCGCACTGTTAAAAATTTAATTTCAATCAGACACCCGTTCGAAATACATATGGAAGTTATGGCTGCATCTGTATCAATTTCAACGAAACGTAATAACGTCCTTCAAGTCTCAATTTGATACATTGTTAGGAGTTTGGTGCTCCATTTATGTAAAATCGGACGAATACATATCCATATGTTGGACCTATATCGAAATCTGAACCGATTTTCCCGAAACATCATTCCAGGCTCAATTCATTACTCTATGCCACATTTCGAGCACCATTTACATAAAATCGGACGAAAATATATACGGGAGATATATCTGAATCTGGACCAATTTTCACAAAACTTTGCACATATCATTTTAGACTCAATTCAGTACGCTACGCCAAATTTCGTGCAAATCGAACGATATATAGGGACATTGGTGCACCATTTACATAAAATCGGAAGATAATAAATATGGGAGATATATCTAAATCTGGACCGATTTTCTCGAAACTTAGCACACATCATTCTAGACTTAATTCAGTACGCTTTGCCAAATTTCGTGCAAATCAAATGATATGTAGGGAAATTGGTGCACCATTTACCTAAAATCGGACGATATTATATATGGGAGCTATATCTAAATCTGAACCGATTTACATGAAACTTTGTACACAACATCCTATGCTCAGTTCAGTACGCTGTGTCAAATTTCGTGAAATCGAAATCGAAACATATATAGGGACTTTGGTACACCATTTACCTTAAATCGGACGAAAATATATATGGGACCTATATCTAAATCTGAACCGATTTTCATGAAACGCTGCGCCAAATTGCGTGCAAATCGAATGATATATAGGGACATTGGTGTACCATTTACATAAAATCGATAACATATATGGGAGCTATATCTTAATTTAGACTTAATTTAGTACGATATGCCAAATTTGGTGCAAATCGAAAGATATATAGGTACTTTGGTGCACCATTTACCTTAAATCGGACGAAAATATATATTGGGGCTATACCTAAATCTGAACCGATTTTTCCCAATTTTAATAGGGTTCGTCCTTGGGCCAAATAAATGAGCTGTGCCAAATTTCATCCAATTCGGATAATAACTGCGACCTGTACTTTGTTTAAAATTTAACATGGACAGACAGACGGACATGCATAAATCGATTCAGAAAGTGATTCTATGCATATTCTCAAAAGGAACCATGGGTCTATCTCGTTTCCTTTTGCCTGTTACAAACATATGCACAAAGACATAATACCCTGTACCACAGTGTTGTGAAGGGTATAACCAGTAAAGAAAGTTCAAAATTCGCAAAATCAATTTTTATAACCTCAGCCATTGTATGGAGGGTATATTAATATTCTTTTTCCGTTTGTAACTCATCGAAATAATTATATAAAGAATATATTAGTTTGGGGAAAAAGAAATCCATTATTTTTATATGAACTGTAGAACATTATTTAACATGCTTCGGAATGTCCGATTTGGGCCAAATATACACCTCTTTGTTGTATGATTTGTTGCCAATTTAAAGGTAACGTCATAACTTCTCTCTCATAGAAGACCTGCTCTCTATTTGCAAAAAAATCTAGAAGTCGATTTTCACAATCCTCCCTAGATATCAGAATTTAGCGTTTGGCCATATGGAATCAACTCATAATAATTAATTCCAGTCCCACCAAATGCATAGCAGAACCTTCCTGGTCGTTAGTCCTGGTTTGGCCACCGTTTAAGGTGCTTCACCGCTCTTTGATCACGATCGTTCTTCTTTTTGAATCCAGCTTTGTGTAAATGGTTTAAAACAGTTTTATGATCGATTTTTAGCTCCTGGGCGATGTTATGACTGCTACTATGTCGGTCAACTTGGACCATTTCTCCGATTTTGTTGACGACTTCTTTGATTTCTTCAGGTTTTGGTGAAAATGCTTCAGATTGAGATATATCTTTCAAATATATATTTACGTGCGATTTTAGGTGAATGGTGCAAAGTTTGTTCGATTGAAACAACATATTGTTCCACAAAATGGGTCTGGTAAGATCAGTTCAGAATAAGATACAATAAATATTTTCGTCCGATTTTATCTAAGTTTGTCTAATTTACACAACATTTTAAACAATGTATCGAAATGGGTCAAATATAGCTACCGGTAAGTTTGTATGAAAACGGTTCAAATTTAGATAAAGCACTTATTTTATGTAAATGGTGCATGAAGTACCCATGGTGCATGAACCCTGGAATATTTCGCTTTGTAAAAATTGGTGCAGGTGCAAATATAGCTCCGACTATATATTTTCGACTGACTTAATGTTAAAATATGCACCAAATAATGATCTGGTGTCCAATTGGAATCAAATTTTGCACAGTTTAATTTAATGGAACCCCCCATTCTCGATTTTAATTTTTCAAGATTTTCAGTGGGTTGGTATATCAATACCAATGCTTGTTAAGGTTTGTAACTTTGCACATATATATTTAAAGATTTAAAAGAGAAGAAAAATAATTTACAAAAAGTTGTTGTTGTTGTTTTTGTAATTAAAGAAAAGTCCTTATTTTTGATGGCGGGCATGATGGCGGGCATGGAACATCGGAATCCGAAAATTCCAACGGTGTAAGAAAGAGTACATGACTGGCTATCGTATGAACTAGGATTATTGACTTCGCTCTAAAATTAACAAAATGGCGGACCTTTGAAAAAATATTTTGGGAAAATCGCCGATTTTTGACCAGAAACCAAGTTAAAAAATAAGGAAGTTCTTCACCGATTGGCTTTATCCTAGTTCATACGATAGCTATACACCCACAGAGAAAGGTCCCAAAATTTGGAATCGATCGGATTAGTAGTTTTTGAGTTATCGTGCCCGCCATTCGTTTAGAGAAAAACGCGTTTAAAGTTTGAGAAGCCCTCCAGCCATCACTTGATGCTGACAGAATAAATCGGCTATATCTCCAAGCGTTCATGAGATTTTTACTTGAAATTCTGTAGGGACATTCTTGAATTAGTGTAGATTCAAATTAAATAAAAAAAAAGATTTTGACCCCGAGAATGGGGGGTCCCCTTAAATCGATGTATGTTATTTGGTTCCGTTGTACAATAACTAAACTAAATCTGCCCTAATGAATTGAATTTTGTATAGGTATAGGGACCCCCCATTCTCGGTTTAAAAAAAAATAATAATAATTTTGTA